ATTATTGTAAAATAATAATAAAATTTCAAATTTTCAATTTTCATTCAATTTTCTATTTGGAGCCATTGGAGAATAGATTTTAAATGTCAGACCAGACGCTCCGTGTATTGTTTTTATTCTAAAAATAATTTTTACCTTTTTTTATATATATATTTTATCAGTTTACCTGTCGTTTTATAGGACAATCACAGACATTAAACCTGGAGAAAAAAAACAAGTTTCAAGTTCTTGTTTACAACCGAAAACAATAAATCGATACCATTTCTTAAAAGCAAAAAAAAAAAACAACAAAACAAAACAATAATTCTTAAAAGGGTTTTCACGTGTTTTCTCTCTCTCTCTCTCTCTCTCTCTCTCTCTAATTTTAACTCGTTATTTTCTTTCTTGTGCCACGAAAAAAAAAAACCATACGGACAGAAAGAAAAAAGCAGAAGACGAGAAAGTAAAACAAAACCGTCAAAAGAAAACAAATGAACGCAAGATTTGATTTCCGTAATTATTATCGATCGGTTACGGTTAATTTAATGATTTTAACGGTTAGAAAAAAATTTTTCATAACACCTTGGAAGAAGTGAGAAAAAAGTAAAAGTTGTACCCATGCACACAAACACACAAACACACAAACACACGCACACACGCACACAGAGAGAGACTAAAAATCGATAGTTTTTCCTATGATTGATTGATACCACGTTTTCAATATTTCGAAGTTTTATTTTTAACCAATTTTTATTATTATTATTATTAATAATAATAAGAGGTCAAAAAGGGGTTATGTTATTATAGGTTGAACAAGATGTGAAAATTTTATTTTTAACCTTTTTCGAATGTAATTACCCAAAAACAACAGAAAAGTCTCTGACAACAAATAAACGCGTGCACGCACGTGCATTGACACACATTTTACGGCGAATATTCATCATTTTCAATGTTAAATTTCGTAAAAGTCAACGAGTGAGAGAGAGAGAGAGAGAGTAGCAAAAAAGAAAAAGTGACTTCAAACTCGTATTTAATATTTTTATTTCAATTTTCTCTCTCTCTCTCACACACACACACACACGCAAACACTCGCGGTTTGCTTACGCACACAATTTGCAAAAGACCAAAAAAATTTTCCACAATGAAGACTTGACAAGAAAATGATTTTAATTTTATAAAAATTTTCCCACAAATAAAAGGTTTCAATTATCCTATACTTAAACTCAATATGAAAATAAAAGAAATTAGATAATGTAAAAACGACGAGGTAATTTAAAAGCGGAAATGGTAATTCAGAGCTCCCCCCCCCTTCTTTTGCGATGCGAAATCAAAAACCATCTGCTCTTTTTTTTTTTTTTTTTTTTTTTTTATGACAACAAAAGATCGTCGTCGTCATCATTCTCCTCATCATCATCCCATCATTATATAAAAGGAAAAAAAAAAAAATTGCAACAACAACAACAACACATTCCATTGCTTTCGCAAACTTGATTGTTTTTTAAACAAAAGCAACCCTGGATACTTTTGTATTTCGTTTTCTCCCCCCTTCCCTTCCCCCCGCTAGAAACCTTGTCCCGACACAGGTTATGTGATTTCCGGTTAATTGTTTAACCTCTGGAAACAATGTAGTCCAATTCAATCAACAACAACAAACAACAATAAAAAAAAATATTTTCAATTATTTTAAATTTAAAATAACTTTACTGTATATACGTGTATATCACGTGATGTAATATCGGGCACGTGCCGGGCACCAGCCAGCCAAATTCCGCTCTCATCCATCGCTTTCTCATATTCCTCATTATATTATATTCAAAAGAGTTGAGATAAATTAAGTTCGTTATTTTTATAAAAAAATATTCAAATCCGAGAAAAGAACAACCGGACAAAAAAAGAAAAACGTAAACAATAAATTCAAACTTCCCATCCATCGTGCGTGTTTATACACACACACACGCACACGCACGCACGCACGCACGATTTGATCGAACGAAAATCGTGTGTTCGTCTTTTTTCGATGTCGACCCTTGACCTTATTTATTATACGAGGAACCGGGAGCAAGATTCTTCTTTTTTTTTTTTTTAAAACGTGCCTCCTTCTCCTCCTTCTCTTCTGGGTCCAAACGTTGGTTGTCATTGAATGTATCGTTGATAATAAGTCTTTCTTGGAAGCGTGAAGGGTGGAGGTGAATCGAAAAACCTTGTGGAATCGTGGAAGAAGCAAGGATTCACATAAAAACCCTATAAATGGTAACCCAAAGGAAAAGCCGATTCCGTTTGATTCGATTGCGGATGCTTCGGTTCTTCGTGGGAAGAGTTTCAACCATTTCGAACGAATCCGTTTGTTTTTATCATAAGTTGAACCGGCCACCTTTTGATTTTATCGCCTCGAAAACCATCATTTAAACCTAAATTCATCTCGGTAAAAAAATAAGAATACTAAAAAGATATACGAACGTAATGATATTTATATGCGTGTCGGAGTTTTCATATCGTAAAGGAAATCTCGCACGCCGTGTCCCACGCTCTTTAAATAAAGGTCGAGTTTTTTTTTTTTTTTTTTTAATTGAACGTTACTACTCTACGATTATCATATACCCGTTTCCGTCTTCTAAGAAAAAATAATAACGAAAAAACTTTTTTTCTCATTTAAAATATTCAAAAATACCGATAACGTAAGAGAATCGTGGTGCGTACACACACACGCACACGCATGCACACGCATGCACGCACGCGCGCGCGCGCGCGTAATGCATAACGTAAATGCATCGGCGGCTATTTAAGAAAAAAAAAAAAAAAAGAAGCGTACGGACTAGATAATTACACTTTCGTTTTTTTTTTCTTCTTCTTCATCTTCTTCATTACATGCGTGCGTGCGTGCGTGCGTGCGTACGTACGTACGTAATGCACTCTCGCATGGCACATACTCACGCGCCCCCAACTCTCAACCATTTTGCTCGCGTTCATATGCGAATTTTCACATCTATTCGCACGTTAATTATCATTATTTTACTTCTACTACTACCACTACCACTACTACCAAAACTCGTTAACTACCGCATTACCTTTAAAGACGTAGTTTTCTTTTTAATATAAACGTGTTCTTGCATAATGACGCAAGACAAAAGGCACGTGCCACTACTAACTTTCCCACTTTTTTAAAAAAAAAAAAAAATTCAACGTGCATGAAGAATATACGACGTATAACCGACGACGACGATGATGATGATAATAATAATAATGATAATCAGTCACGTATGAATTTTTTTTTTTCAAAATAAAAAATTATAGTCTTGAGACAAAATCTACAAAAGGAATTTTTTTGTAATTGAATTCGGATTAACGAAAAGATTATAAAAAAAAAAAAAAAATTTTAAGATTTTTTTTTTTTATTATTACCCTTCATAAGAAGAAGGAGGTAAATAATATGGTTGTAATTCATTCTCGTAAAATATTATTATTATTAATCTTTATCTATCTACCTTTATCCCCACGTACGTACGCACGTACCTGAACAACGCAAAACCTTAAAAAAAATAAAGAACAACAAACAAACAAGGATAATAGAATTTTTTTTTCGGGGGGTGGGGAGAAAAGAAGAGGAGGTTTCGATTATTATCATTATCATCATTATCATTTTCAATTACGAACAAAGTGAAAATGATTGTGCTAAATGAAAAAATAAATTTTTTCCTTACGGACAAGCGACCGAAATTATTATTATTATTATTATTATTATTATTATTACTTATTTCGAACCGATTTTTAAACAATAATAATAATAATAATGATAATAATAATACCTGAAGAAAGGTGATCGGAAAAAAAAAAATTGATGTTAACGACCCAAACGATGAGGAGAATGAGATTGTTTTTCTATCTCGTTTTTTTTTTTTTTTTTTTTTTTGATCGGGTTACGACATTTTAATAGATCGAATTGCCAACCATTTTTTTTTTGTTTTGTTTTGTTTCCCCCTCCCTCCCGCCTCCCTTCCTCCTCCATCCCGCCTACCTCCCCTTTTGGATCCTGGTGAGTTTGTTTTCATTCGTTCATATTTCGTTTTCCGGTAATTCCAAGTTGGCGGTGATAATTCCAAGTGATGGATCCGGAAAATTTTTTAATCCTCGTGTTCGAGTGCGTGTTTGCGTGCGTGCGTGCGCGCGTGCGTGTGCGTCCTTCGTTTACCCTTGACCCATGACACCTATTTCCTTTAGTATTTTTTTTTTTCCTGAACGAAAAAACTTGTTTTTTTCTTTTTTTGTCGACTTTGTATCACACACGCACATGCAAGCGGATAAAAAAAAAAAAGATGACAAATTTTATTGAGGGAGTGCAGACGGACAGACAACCAAAGTTCATTAGGCACGCCTTAATTTTTTTCTGGTCATGGTAATCAAGTGATTAAATATCTTGCGTCCGATTCGAAATTCTAAAAAGTCCTTTCCGACGATATGAAACGTTCTATGTGAACCGTCTTTATTCCATATTTTGTTTAAATTTAAAAAGATAACGGTTCACGTTGAAAATCAAATACTCTATCCAACCATCTAAAAAAATTTTAACGCGATCTGAATGTTTGTAAACGAACAAACTCGTTTTCGTAGTTGACGGTAGTACAGCTTAGATTTCAAAGTCAATCTCTCTCTTTTTACGATTTCCCTTAATTTATCCTTAGATGAAACAAATTCACGTAAGTTAAATTATTTTTTCACGGTTTATAATAAATTCACGGGTGGCATCAAACTTGGCGTGATGTGGGAAAGGATGTGAGCGTATGCAACAAGTGCCATCGAGATGAATTCTGGTTTAGACACTCGCCAAGGCGCGAGTCGTGAAGTTACCTTGTGAAGATGATGCGGTTGTTCTTCTCGTGAGTAGTATTCAGTATCATCATCATCATCATCATCGCAGTACATGAGTGATAATAGTGATTCAAGTGTTTGACAAAATACGTAGAGAGAAAATAATATACATATACGTAATTATTTTTATAAAAAAAAAAAAACTAAAATTATCGATTATGGTTGCCGGTGGTGGAACTATGGCATCGGCGCCACCACCAGCCATCGGTGGAAACGGTGGCTGTACGGGTGTTAGTGCAAATACATCAAATTTGACCGGATCTCCTAATGTGCCAGCAACACCGCAAGGAACTAATGAAGGGGGTCCAACAAGAACTAGGACTAACGAAAATCGAAGAGTGAGTGATTTGTTTGTTTTTCTTTTTCTTCTTCCTCTTCCTCATCTTCTCTTCTTATTTTCTTTTTCACTCGTGCAAACTATCCGGTGTGGTGGTTCCCACCATCCATTCGTAAAATACCGAGACTCGGTGGTGTTTTGATAAATTCCATCGTGCCATAAAACTTCTTCGGCAAAACCTGGATTTGTCCGTAGGTTTTCAACCTGAGACGCAAATTGGTTTTTTTTAGGTATTTCGATTTTTAAAAAAAAACCGTTAAGAAATAATCATTTTCAGGTTTTTCTTTTTTATTTTTTTTTTGTGTCCTCAATGCCACCGGTGAAAATTTTTTTTTCCCTTTCGTCAACAACAACAACAACAATTCTCATCATCATACCGGTTATGCATAAAAATTCTTCTTAAAGTAGCAACCGCATCATCATCATCATCATCATCATCTTGCATAATTTATTACTTCCGCTTGTTCTTATTTTTTTTGATCTCCCCGTGAAAAGACGGTTCGGAGAGAGAGAGAGAGAGAGAGAAACGAACGCTATGATAAAATTAACCCCTTTTGATTTCTAAGTGAAAGTACGATAGTGACGTCGTTTACTTCTTCGTTAATAAATAATAATAATAATAATAAATTTGTTTTTCCCCCCACGTTCGATCGGCGGAGGAGTAAAGAAAATTTGTGATAGTCGAGGGAGCGTTTTAATTAGTCGCTTCCACCCAACAAAAAAAAAAAAAAACTTTCATTTCCTTTCCTCCCATATAAATTATAATTTAGTTTTCCTTTTTCCTTTTTTTTTTACTCGTTAACCGGTTCTGTCTCCTCGCATTTCCCTCCCACGTCACGTTAAAAAGAAGAAAATTCCGGTCGTAAGAAATGATGATTATCGCACCGTAACGTAACGAAATTTTTTTTTTTTTTTTTTTTTCGAGAAAACCCACGCGGGAATTTTACATTTTTATTATTATTATTATTATTTTTTTCGAGTTGACAAAAGTTCCAAAAAAAAAAAATATAAAAAAATCTTTTTTTTTTTTAACCTTTTTACAAAACGAAAAGAAAGAAAGAAAGAAAATGTTTTTTTTTTAAAATAAAATTCATGGTTCAAATAGAACGCAGATGTTTTAAACTCAATAATAGTTTTCTCTCTCTCTCTCTCTCTCTCTGTCTCTTTCTCTCCAACCTGTACCTACCCAATCGTTTGTATTGTAGATATCGAAGAATAAATCACGTGAAGGATGTTCAATAAGTTACGCTTTCTTACGCGACGAACGTGTTGGAATTTTTCCCCTTTTCTTCCTTTTTTTGTAACCTTTTCTGACGTTACGTTGGTGTCAAGGCAGGTAGGTATCCGTCCAAACGATTTATTTTCATTTCCGCTTTTTAAGAGAAAAAAATAAAGATGGCGACGGCGAATTTTTTACAAATCGTCTTTACATTTCCTTAAGTCTTCGTTCGTTTTTTTACAACCCGCATATACTTGTATAAATAATCGGTTGAAGCACCTGTAATTTAAATTGCCCTTGACCTAAAGGTTGCGTGCGTGTGTGTGCGAGTGCGTGTGCGGATTTCATATCTCGTTTCATATTCGAGATCCTTACCGGTGATTATTATTATTATTTCAAAACTAACTTTTTTTTTTTTTTTTTTGTTTTGATTTTTATCGATTTCGTCTGTGTGCCGTTTCGCACTTTGATCTCTCTGTCTCTCTCTCTCTCTCTCTCTCTCTCTCTCTCTCTCTCTTTCTCATGCGGACTAATTTTTATTTTTCCTTTTGTCGGCAAACGAGATGATGATGCCCTTGGGAAAGATTATCTTCGTGTGTCTGCATAATAAATAATCGAGTTGCTGATTCTCGTTATATGACTTCGGTAACGTGCTCTTGAGTATTTTAAAATGTGCCGTCAGCTACTTACTTGTTCGTGCACTACCGCATCAAGATTTTTAATTTTTTTTTTTTTTAAATTAATATTCTTGCCATGATTTTCCTTTTCTTTCTATTAACTCGTGACGATTCGTTTGTTTAAAAAAAAAAAAAAAAATGCATCCTACAGCTACGAAGTACGTTTCTTAAATCTTTTTTTTTTTTTTTTTTTTTTTTTTTTTTTGGATTTTAAATAAATTGAAAACAAAAATTTTATTTCCCCCCCCCCCGCCCTCCTCCCTGCAAATATATCGAAATTAATTTTTAATTTTTTGTTTTTGTTTTTCCAGAGCAATAAACCAATCATGGAAAAAAGAAGAAGAGCGCGAATTAACAATAGTCTTAACGAACTTAAAACTCTCATATTGGACGCTATGAAAAAAGACGTGAGTATATTTACATTATTCAATTTATAAATTTAAAACTGTTCAAAAGAAAGTTATATGATGGTAATTTAATTTTAATTTTTTTTTTTTTGTTTTTCTCCAGCCCGCAAGACATTCAAAATTAGAAAAAGCAGATATTTTAGAAATGACCGTCAAATATTTGGAAGCGTTGCAAAGGAAACAAGTTGCAATGGCGGCTGCGTCCGATCCAAATGTGGCAAATAAATTTCGTGCTGGATTTACGGAATGCGCGGGTGAAGTAGGCAGGTTTCCCGGTTTAGACGGACCCGTTAAAAGAAGACTGCTTCAACATTTAGCCAATTGTTTAAATTCGGCGAATCCGATGAGTTCGCCACCGCCAACGCAGCAGCAGCAGCAGCAACAGCAGCCACCCCCGCCGCCGCCGCAGCCGCAACCTTGCGAAACGACAAACGCCAACACTTCTCCTCTCCAAGTTCACATTTTAAGAAATCCCACGCAAAGTAGTGATGCTACGCCTGTCGTTCAGCAAACCAACTCGAACATTATTTTAGCCAATACTAGCGGGCAAGGAGTTCAACTTGTTCCTACTCGATTGCCCAACGGTGATATCGCTTTAATCTTACCTTCCTCCAACACCTTTCGATCTCCTCGATCATCTGCCACGTCATCGGTAACGCCATCCTCTTCGCCTTCTCCGAGCATATCGTCTAATTCATCGGGGTCTTCGCCCTTGCCCATGCTCGTTCCCATTCCGAATAGAAGCAATTCGAATTCTCCTCCCATCGCGATCGACCGTTTATCCATGAATTCCACCACACCTCCTCGGCAAATAACCATAGTAACGACGCAAAATCCTCAACGGATAATATTACCTCAATCCCACCACCCCGGAAAACCTGCTCCTATAGTTACGTATCAATACAACGAAGAAAACGATAAGTTGGAGCACGTGATTCAACAAAGGGTCATACTACCCGATTCTTACTTGAAATCCGAAAGAATAATGAAAGATTTCGATGATGTACCTGCTGTGATGGGCGACGCCGCCGAGCCTTCAATAATAAACGGGAAAAGAGATGTCATGGACAATTTAAATCGTTTTAATGAAAATTGCGAGAGGGCATTAAGCGACGACGAGCACTGCCTTTACGAGGGGAATCGGATTATAATGACGCACGACGGTCGGATAATTGAAAACGATCACGGTTCCGGCGGTGGATACGTTCGAGATAAAATGTACGGTGGTCAAGAAAGAGAAACTCTTCTTCACATTCCCGATAGGGAATACTACGATGGCGAACTTCGAAGCATTTCCCCGAAATCTCCCGTCGACTACCACGTCGAAACCGTGGACGACGACCACAAGTACGCGGAATATTATCAAGATCATTACGACAGATCTTACAGTCCTGAAATGCCAAAGCCCTTAGCTTTAGTCACAAGAAAAAAATGCGAAGAATATGGAAACGATGAAAGACCGTGGAGGCCTTGGTGAGAGAGAGAGAGAGAGCGAACATCGTTTCAAGAAAGAATTAATAAAAAAAAAAAAAAGAAGTTTTTCCGCTCTTCACACGCCATCGTGAGAAAATTCATCGGGTTACTTTATATGCCGCCCACGCCGACGAAACAAAAAAAAACACGCTAATTAATTACGTAAAGGAATGAAAGAAAGATGGAATATAAAAAAAAAAGAGAGAGAGAGAGAGAGAGGAGGGGGAAAGAAGAAGAAAAAGAAAGGAAAAAACAACTTTTCTCATAAACTAATAATAATAATAATAATGAAATACCACCGCCGATCATTGTATTGACATATTAAAAAAAAAAAAATCAAGTTTACCGGCGAGTATGTTCGTGCGTGAGTGAGTGCGTGCGTGCGTGCATGCATGCATGCGTTTTTAATTTCAACGTTTCTCTCTCTCTCTCTTCGAAGAGGAAACACCGAAGGACGGAAAGAAATTGGTGAGGGGAAGGGGTGGGTACAAACATTAAAAAAAAAATTATCGTGGGTAGTAAATGAGTATGAAGCTTTTTGACGCTTCGAAGCGTGCAATTAACCGTTTAAAGAATTTTGTAATCCACCCAAGGAAATTCATCGACTCGAAATAAGCGCTATATACTGTGGCATCCTCTTCCCCTCCCTCCCTCCCTCCCTTTTCCTACGATATATAATATACGTATAAATAGTAATTTATATACTTAATATAACTAGTAAGTGCCTTTCATACGACAGAATCCATTCGTCTTCCAATAATTACAAAAAAAAATTTTTTTTTATATGTACTTTTGTATAATAATATTTTATATATATATATAAATGTTTGAATTTTAAAATATAAAAATTTATTTATTTTTTTCTATAATCGTTTATTATTATTATTATTATTATTTTTCCTTAAAAAAAGAACCTCTTGTGACGTTTGAAAAAAACGAAAAAGTTTTCAAAAGGGGGAAAAAAAAAAAAAAATTGTTTCGTAAAAAACGATTGTTTGTTCGTGTGAGTGAATCGAACAACAACAACAACAATGACGTCATCATCGTCGTCGTCGTCACGTATTTGAAACGAGAGAGGGGGAGGGGGGGGGGAAAAGAACGAGAGAGAATAATAATAATAATTAAAACAATTGATAATTTGAACGTGAAAAAAACCGTGAAGTGTAACTCCTTCTTCCTCTATTAAACACTCCTACCTATTTTTAATAATAATAATAATAATGTATATGTGATCTATCGAATGGATAAAAAAAAAAAAAAAAAAAGATTTCGAACTCTGCACCTGGATTCGATTTTTAGAGTTTTTGTTTTTTTTTAAAAATTATTTTCATTCATTTTTGTTTTAAAAAAAAAAAAAATTACGCGTTAATTCATTTAACTGTATCCGCTTCTCCGGAAGACTAAATATATTAATTTTTTTTTTGATTTTCGCTGGAATTATTCCAGGAAGGAGGAAAAAACGGTTTGGCCCGGCCTTAATTTTTTTTTTTTTTTTTTTTTTTCGGGTGGTCCTGTGGAAGAAGGGTTTTCAAAAAATTATTTTTTTTTTTTTGTTCTCGACTCAAACGACGATATTTACTAAAAGTGATTCGTACTTGTTAAAAAATTCAGGGACGTACCTCCCCTACCCCTCCCCCCATTCATTCTCCATCCGTTACATTCATTCACCTGCTTTTTCGACTCGAAAATTCGATTTTCATTTCCGTTTTATCTTTTTGATAAAAAAAAAAAAAAAAAAATGTTCGACTCGTTAAGCGACACCATGAATTGACGGATGAAAACCAGAAAAAAAAAACAAAAAAAAAAACAAAACGATACAAAATTCGGATCGTTTTATATTTCCAACCAAAAAAATACCTTTTTAACCTTTTTTTATATATATATATATATAAATATATAAAAATTAATAAATGTTTACGAAACTTTTGGATTCATTGAAAATTTTATTTCGGTCACACACACACACACACACACGCACCCGCACTCACACGCACGCACGCAACCCTAAAATTTATTTATAAAAAAAAAAAAATCGAAACCGATGAAAGTATAGATATTATTATTATTATTATTTCATTTATTTCCGAGAAGAAGAAGAAAAAAACAAACAAACAAACAAACGAAACAACAAACGCTCCCTTTTTTTATTTTTCAAATCGTCCATGTCTGCCAAAGCAGTTTATTTGACTTCGACAAATTTATGGTTATTAATAAAGACAAAGAAACGATGACAAAAAAAAAATTTTTTTTTTTTTTTTTACGACAAAAAAGGCTTCACAAAAAAGTTTCGAAACTTTTTCGACATTTCGTATTTTTCCTACGTTCGAATCGAGTTTTAAATTTAATACAACTACTACTACTACTAAGACAACGCGACCGATCATCATCAATAATAATAATGACGAAGAAACCAAACAAAAACAACAACGTGCAAGAAGAATCGATACAAAATTAAATAATAATGATAATAATAATAATAATAATAATAATAATAATAATAATAATAATAATAATAATAATAATTTTTTTAAATATTAACTCAACACTACGTAACCATAAACAAGTTTTCGAGAGAGAGAGAGAGAGAGAAAACTCAATAGCATCGCCTCCTCACATAAAATATTAGTTTGGCTGGATCAATTAAAGTCAAAAATTAATGAGAATACATAGAAGTAAAAAAAAACGAGAAGAAGACGAAGACAGAGAAGAAGAAGAAGAAGAAGAAGAAGAAGAGGAGGAGGAGGAGAAAAAGAAGAATATCATGAATTTCAACAACCTACGTGTTTTTTTTTTTTTTTAAAGCATCCGATCTGAGGCGATCGACGTCCACGCGACTGACACCCACCTTAAAATCATCCTCACAACTTTTCTCTCTCTCTCTCTCTCTATCTATCTCTCTCCCTCTCTTTCTTTCTTTTCTTTTCTTTTCTTTTTCTAGACTAGTTTTTTTATTTTCATGTGGGACTAATTTAATCTTCCACGGAACCTATTCTTCACATTCTCGTAATAGATGTTCAATTTCTTTCTTTCTCTCTCTCTCTCTCTCTCTCTCTCTATAATAATAATAATAATAATAATAATAATAATAATTATCTGACCGTTCATCTTTTATTGTTGTCCACGAATTCAAAGGATTACATGAAAATATTTTTTTTGTTCAACTCCACCTTTAATAATAAATATAATAATAATAATAATAATAATATTATTGTAATGGTAAAAAGTTTTTTTTTTCGGTTGAATTAAAAATTTACCTCGGGTATATCGGGGAACCGTTGCAGGAGGAAAAAAAACGGATACGACTAAATATTACATCGTCACGAGTCTTACCAAAAAAAGAGAGAGAGAGCGAGAGAGAGAGAGAGAGGAGGGGAATCTTTTACCGGTTAAATTAAAAAAAAAATTTTTTCTAAACCTACACGTTCGATATAAAAGATTATTGTCGTGAGGCCGTTTGTATGCCGAGGGTGAATCAATAATTTTATTTATTGGAATGAACCTCAACCCCCCTCCCCGCCTCACTTAAATCACATTTCGAATTATTATTATTATTATTATTATTATTATTATTATTATTATTATTATTATTATTATTATTATTATTATTATTATTATTATTATTATTATCGACTGCTGTGATTCGAATTAAATTTCAAGCCGCGGATAGAACAAAAAAAAATTTAAATAACACTCGGTGACAATTATTGAAAAAAGGTAATTATAAATAAATAAAAAAACTTTACAATATCGTTAACCGTATTAGAAACTCGTCATTCATTTTCGCGCGAAAAGTCGTGGTAGTAGCAGTAGTGGTAGTGGTAGCAGAAAATTTTTATTCGAGACTGAGAAAAGATGGTAAAAAACGAACAAACGAAAAAAAAAGACCTCTTTTTCTTTTTCTTTATCTTATTCCCTTTACCTTTTACTCGAACCTGACTCCACCACATACCCCGAGAGAGAGAGAGAGACAACAAAATCAGGTTTTATAAAAAAACAAAAGGACCTCCCTTAAAAAAAAAAAAAATTCGCCCCGGGAAATATATATATATATAAAAATAAAAATAAAAAAAAAAAAAATTTTTTTTTTTTTGTAATAATTATACTTATTAAACAATGCTACTGTTTTGGTGTGTGTGTGTGTGTGTGTGTGTGTGCGTGTGTTGTGATTGCACAGGTCATGGGAATTATAGTTATAAGTTATCATTATGTTATTCATACGTTTTGAATTTAAACTTATTGGCGCCGGTAATAACAACACGAGAACCACCTTTAAGGTACGTGAGAGAAAACATTTGACAATTGTCTACGCGATAGATATATAAAGGGCATACCAAAAAAACAAATACATGCGTACGCTCACGCGCGCTCTCACATTCACACGCACACGCACTCACGCACTCACGCACGCACGCACTCACAACATATTCTTACGTCAATCAAATACTTGTAATACGTGAGTCTTTTAATGCCTGCGGTTGTTAAGAAGAAGATTAAAGAAAAAAAATTTAATTGAATAAAATAAATTTCTTTTTTTTTTAAACGAATCTAATCGAATTTAATAATCCGATTCGTTAATTTTTCGAGGGAAAATGATTTTTTTTTAAAAAGTTTCAATCATAATTAAAATGGCGGATTTTTTTTTATATAAAAAAAAAGATTCGGCGGCGGCTTCGAATGGGAATTGAATTTTTTTTTCGGAATTAATTTCAACACGTTTTCTTAGAGAGAGAGAGAGAGAGAGAGAGGCGGCGTAGTGTTTTTATTATTATTATTATTATTATTATTAATCGAAAACCTTTAAATATCTTTTTTTTTTTTTTTTCATTAATAAATAATTTTTTAATGCCTTGAAGGGAGTAAAGACATCATGTGTGGTCAAAAAAAAAAAAAAAAAAATTAATCGAAAATTCATCTGCCTACACTTTTTCCAATTATGATTTATTATTACATCTTATGAGTAATTCCCAATGGCACGACCATACTCTTCTGTCAAATCTAATTTTT